GCGACACGGACGTGAGACCGCGCGCTTTTTATTCTTTTTTCTTAATTTTGATGCTGCTAGTGATAGTAATGGCGGTAATGATGCTCAGAATATCAATCATCATTATTTATTGTCATAATGATAATAATGATAGTACTAGTAGTAGGAATAATAGCGATAATAAAGAGGCAATAGTAAGGAAACTAATACTATAAATATAAACGAAGGAAATAGACCAACTCAATGAACACTCCCCCTGCTTGCCTCAGACGTGCAAGCCCCGCCCTGCAGGAGCGGAGTGCAGGGCGGCCCGCGGCGAGTGTGACCTGCCCGAGTTCTGCCACGGGAACTCGGAAACCTGCCCAGACGACCTGCACAAGCGCGATGGCACTCCCTGCATGCACGAGAGGGTGAGGTTTCAATTTCCCGTTTTGCTTTTATTCTGTTAGAAGGTGATGGAAAGTTTAATTCGTGTGTTTATATGTGATTCCTATATGTGTGTAGAGGGGAGTGGATTGTGTGTGTGTGTGAAGAGGGGAGTGGATTGCTGTGTGTGGTGTGTGTGTAGAGGGCGGGGATGTGTGTGTGTCTGTGCGTGTGTGTACTTATGTATGTGTGTGTGTCTTTGTATCTGTATGTGCATTTGTGTACACATACCATACGTATACACCTATTTCTTTGTCTGTTTCTCAAGTGAGAGCACCTATCGATATGTGCACAGAACCCTTAACGCAGGCTCCCCCCTCCCCCACCCAGGGCCACTGCTACTCGGGGCGGTGCGGCAGCCACGACGGGCGGTGCCGCGAGGTGTGGAGCCAACCCACGTGGGCGGCCAGTCCTACCTGCTTCGCCCGACTCAACACGGAGGGCTCGGAGGATGGCAACTGCGGACTCCAGCGCAACCAGTTCGTTCCGTGCGATCGAGAGTAGGTGTCGCTGATTTGATTATGATGATTATTATTACCAGTATTATTACTATTATTATTATTATTATTATTATTATTATAACTATTATTATTATAATAATAATTATCATTATAACTATTATTTCTTTTATCATTATTATTATCATTACTATTTTTTAGGGGGGCGGGAGAAAGTAGGTGTCGTTTTTTTTTTTTTTTGTCTGTCTACCTCTTTCTCTTTCTCGCTTTCTCTCTCTCTTCTCACTTAATTTCTCACAAATCAAATGAAATAACAACAAAAATATGATGAATATATCAGGTAGATACCAGACTACAATATGATATCTATCTACCTATCTATTTATCTACCCACCAACCCATCCATTTCACCCACCTACTTACCCCCCCTTCCCGATCCATCTATCTATCAACCCATCTACCTACCCATATAAAAAGCCAAACACACATCAACGTATCCATCAACATTAATACTTTCTCTCCCCCCCCCCAGCTCGGTCATGTGTGGCACCCTGCACTGCACTCCCCGTGACACCTCTCTGACGGGGCTGCCTTGGTACCACTACAACTACACGAGGGAGGTGGAGTCGACCCGCTGTTCCTTCGTCATCGGCGCCGAAATATACCCGAGCTCGCACTGGCTCTCTCCCGACGGGGCCAAGTGCGCGGAGGGAAAGGTGAGGGAGGGGTTGTGAAGTGGGGAAGGTTGGGGGGGGGAATTCGTGACTGGGGAAGGTTAAGATTATCTTTGAGTGTGTTTATGTGGGGGAAGGGGGGGGGGTATGGGGTATGGGAAATGGTGATTTTTTTTGGGAGGGGGATGTTTCGGTGGTGGTGTTGGTAGTGGAAGGGGTGAAGAGGATTAATTTTCTTTTTATGTATTTGTTATTATTTTTCTATTGTTCCTTGTTTATTCTACTCTCTTTGCCTCATTCTTCCCTTCCCCTCCCTTCCTCCACCCTCCTCTTTCTCAATCTCCCCCCCCTCTCTCTATCTACTCTTTTTCTCTTCTTCCTTTTCCACTCCCATCTTCACTCCCGTCTGACAGCGCCCTGCACTCTCTTCGTCTCGCTCCAGATGTGCGTCAACCAGAGGTGCGTCGCCGTGCCCGCCGCCGACGGAGCGAGGCAATGCCCGGGCAACTGCTCCGGGCACGGCGTCTGCAACAACAAGAACCAGTGCCACTGCGACCCCGGCTTCACTCCCCCGGACTGTGCTAGGCCGGGCATGGGGGGGTCTGTGGACAGCGGGCCGGCCTCGAGACCGAGCAGAGGTTGGTCTCGAATGCTCTTTAGATATAAATTTGGATTCGTGTATGTAAACAGAAACGGATGAGCATACTTCGAGATCACGAGCAGCTCTTTCCCATTTTCCAAATACAATTTGGTCCCGCTGTTTCAGGGGCCAGCGGGCTTCTGTCCATGGAGGTATTATTTGAAATGCACGCCTCTACTCACTTCTCGCATTATCTCTTTCAGATGGAAGCACCGCCGCTCTCGTGCTGTGCGTGCTGTTCGTCTTACTGCTGACTCTGGCTGCAGCTCTGTTCTGCGCCTGGGGGAGACTCCGGCGCTGCTGGGAGAAGCAAGGTCGCGAGA